TACGCGGCAAGTCCTGAGAGACTCCGAACAGCCCTAGAGGTTGTTTCCGAGTATACCAGTGCAATCGGCATGGAGTTTGGGTTGGACAAGTGCGCAGTTGCCCACTTAGTAAAAGGAAGATCGCCGAACTGGAGTGATAATGTCGAGCTTATAGACGGGAGCATCATAAAACATCTGGATGCTGGAGAGTCATACCGATATCTTGGATAGGCACAATCTCCTTTGCAGGACGTGTCTGTCATCAAAGATACTCTCCGCAGTGAGTACAAGTGGCGACTTAAGAGAATATGGGGCTCTGAATTATCAGGCCCTAACAAAGTCAAAGCCACGAATATGCTCGCTGTCCCAGTCTTGCTATACTCATTCGGAGTTCTTAAATGGCTCCGAAAAGAGCTTAAAGATCTGGACATTATCACGAGGAAAGTGATGACATTATATCGAAGTCATCACCCGCGATCTTCTGTCCAACGCCTATACTTTCCCCGTGATCTGGGAGGGCGTGGACTACTAAGTTTGGAGTGTCTACATGACAGGTTAGTGATAGGCCTGGCTTATGACATCTATGAGAGCTCTGATCCTCTTCTCAAGTTCGTGAACAGCTTTGAACTAGTGGGAAGGGATGCGTTCCTATATAGAGCAGCATATCAGGCAGCGCAGAACCTCGGCTCAGTTTTCGACCCTAGCAGCCCAGACGGTCTAAGGCTTTTGCAATTGACCAGAGGGCAGCGAAAGGTCGATATAAAAACAACCGAGCAGTTAAAACTGCTCGACGAACATGTGGCAAAGTCCTTACATGGTGTGTTTTATCGTCATCTCGACCCACAGGACTTGTCACACCAGCTGACTTTCCAATACCTTAAGTCAGCTGGCTTGTTCTCTGAGACCGAAGGATTCATTATGGCCTGCCAAGATGGTGTAGTTTCCACCCTCGCCTATCGGCGTGATGTTATGCACGAGCAACTCGAGGACACAAGATGCCGAGTTTGTCACGGTGATGTAGATGAGACGCTATTTCATGTTTTATCGGCTTGTCCGATATTAGCGCGCTCAGCCTACATTCACCGGCATAACGCCGCCCTAAGAGTGCTGTATTACCACCTTCGGCACTCTTATGGAATAGACGAGACACCAGTGCTGCCCTATGTGCCCGGTGAAATTGAGTCAGTCGTTGAGAACGAGAGAGCAAAAATTCTTTGGAATTACCCGCTCTCTACGCCCCAACGTATTGAACACAATAAGCCGGATATTACTCTTTTCGACCAGACCACCAAGCACGTATATTACATTGAGTTCTCAGCCCCGGCTGAGACAAATATACGTGCAAAAGAAGAGAGTAAACAGGAACGCTACAGAGAGCTCATGGAGGTCATGAGAACTGTCTATCCCGAACACACGGCGCACGTGATAGTCCTAGTGATTGGCGCACTCGGAGGGATGAGGGACCGCTTTCTGACAGAGCTTCGAACAATACCAGTCTGCCGTAATCAGGCTGAGATTCTCGCGGCTCGTATGCAGAAAGCGGTCATCCTTGGTTCTCTCCGAATCCTGAGACGACTGTAACAAATGACTGAACGGCTGCAGCCCCGGCTCACCCTCAAACCTGAGGGAGTCAGGTGCCTGCAGGATAATTCCGTCTGGTCAGGCCCCAGGTGGGTCGGAGCCCTGGGATCCCTGGCCAGACACCTCTGACGAATCGCAAGATGAAAATAATAATAATAACAATAATGATAATAATAATAATATTTATTAAAAAATATATATTTTCGAGAAGATTTAAGAAAAGAATATTTTTTAGGTGATTGGAAGACCATCAAATATACCTGAAGCACAATCAGTAACTGATGAAATAACAGAAGAACGCAAGTATTATAATCGAGTTTATACTGCTTCAATACATCAAGACTTAGCAGAAGATAATATTAAATCAGTTTTCGAGGCTTTTGAGCTAATAACATATTGCAAAGTAGCTCAAGGAAGTTCACCGATATTAACTCCTAGTAAGTTATTTGTATGGAAAAAATTTTATAGAAAAATGAAATATTTTGATTATATTTTTCTTTATTTTTTCAGCTTGATCTGTCATTGTTCGATTCATTGCAGCACCAACCACAATTATTTCACCTCCAGCAATTGCAACCGTTACTCCAGCCATTTCTCCACCTGGAATTGCTATTCCTCAGACACTAACACAACCTTCAGCAATTATTCAACCAATCCCTGGACAAGCTGTCATCATTCCACCTCCTGATATTGTTGCACCTACTGCTGTTGGCACTCCAGTGGTAAATATATATTTTTATTCGAATTTATTCAAGCTAAGGTGTTGATAGAAAATCAGAAAAATTAAATAAATGAATGAAAAATGAATAAATCAATCATTGATCAATAAAAATAAATGTCATTGATACTTGATGACAATGAATGTTTTTTTTTGTACAGATAACTAGAATATACATGGCATGCTGTGCTAAAGTACATTGAATATTCTTCATAATTTATTTTATACTTTATGCTTGATCTTTGTCTACACCTTTGCCTATGTAATATTCATTTACAATTATTTATATTTATTTTCTTTGGTTTTAGTATAATATACATTAGAAGGAAGTTGTAGCATTCTTTTTATTATACATTATGTTAAGAAAAGCTATTTAAATTTTTAGGTTCCGGTAACTACGGCATCAATAGTTTATATCACTAGATAAGTATAAGAAGAAGCTCATCCAAAACAACAAGAAGAATTACAGGAAAAATTGCTTGAAGAAACTGAACCAGAAACTCTTCAGCAATAAGAAAATATGTCAATTAAAGGACAGAGTGCCAGACATTTAGTCATGCAAAAATGGATGAGAAAAGTAGAATCTCGTTTTGTTATCCTTAGAAATATGGTAACTCCAAAAGACATAGATCAAAGCCTTCAAGAAGAAATTTAAGATGAATGTTCTAAATTTGGTGTTTGTTCTGACTTCGAGTCGGCCGAATGAGCAAACTGAAAACTAGTGGACTGTATGAATTGAGAGCAGAATAAGAACAAAAGGTTGGATGCTAGAAGGTTCCTAAAAATAGTTTATTAACACTGAATTGCTTGGGTTTTATAGATTTTTTATTCAACAATAACACTTAACATACTCAATAGAAGTTAATAATCACTACATATAGTTGAGTTGACTGTACCATAATTGTTTGTACACTTATGAGTTGTCTAATGGTTATTTTTTCACCAAATAACATAGTCTCAAAAAAACAGTGAATAGCAACATTCACAGTATACACCAGAGTTGTTCGGGGGAGCGATGTATAGGTGAACGTCCGTGAGGCACTATGGCGTCGACGCCAGTTCAGCTTCGCGCCCAAAGACACTACAACTGAATATACTGGACCACTGGCACTGATGAGAGTAATTTGATGATTCACGTATCTTCGTGAGAGTTGTCTGAGTCTATTTGACCGTACTTTTTTGTACAAAGTGTGAGCTGACTGCAAAAATCTGCGATTTGACTGCGAACTATTGTACAGAGATAACCGCGTGATTTGCCTGGAGCTAACTGACGCCACAAGTGCTCGACCGCGTGCTTGTTGGCGTCATTAGGGCCGTAGAGTTGCCTTCTAGGCCATGAGGGAAATACTTCCCGATGATTGGTCCAGTGAGTTGACTGACGCGCCGGTGGACAAGTCCGGCATTAACAATTTTTGAATATTTCTGACTAACTGATTTGGGCCCCTCCAAGTCAGAACAGTGTTGTAGAACAAGTTATTATTTATAATGAACAACAATCTGCAGATGACGAGGATGCTGAAGTAATTGTTGAAATATTAGTAGTTTTGTCACGAATGAGTGGTAAGTAAATTATTATTCTGCCTATAAAAATATAATCCCATTAAAAATGATAATTTATTCTCTTATTGTTTATTTGCAGAGGCAGAACGTGCAAGAGATTCCTTAAATGGTCGCTACTTCGGTAGTCGACTAGTGGACGGTAAACTTTATGATCAAGAATGATTTGATCATAATAATTACTCAGGTTGAAAAATTTTTTTTCATTTTTTCATTTGCTCTCCAGCAGGTTTTTTATTTTTACGTAAAACTTTAGTGTTTATGGACGGGTTATAAATAGTTACTTTGCAAGGAAATTAGAAATAATTACTACAACCGTTTTGTTTATTTTCGAAATGAAGTGATGTGGAATAATTGTTAGAGTGATAATAATACTCTGCCCAATTCCAGGAACTTCAAATTTCTAATAAAGTAGCCTAATTAGATAAATGTAAATTGTACATTATGTTCACTTTGCAAATTTTTATCTTAAAATATTATTTCTAAGAATATCGACTGAATAAGTGAAGTTTTTTACTTGATTATAATTTAACTTGTAATTGAAAATAAAATTGTTGGTCTTCAAACAAAAACATTTAATGTATCAGTATATCACTACTGCAATGAATATTAACAATTTTTATATCACAATGCTGGACTTATTAATTAGTCATCAGTAATTATGTAAACATAGATCAGTAAGGAATTAAAACTATAATTGTAACTTTATTTTTTTGGTTTTATTCGGTAATTTTGCCCGTAATGACTGTACTCATCATATGTAGGAAAGTTTAATTAAGGTTTTGCTGGCATAGGGTCAACAGTTTTTCCTTTCTTTTTAGATTATTGGATTTCTAATTCTGCAGCATTTTTTTTCGTCATCAGCAATTCATAGTTGGCCCAATTCACCCATTTATAACCATCAACAAAGCTAAGTTTGGTAAAAATTATAACAAAAGAAATAAAAAAAGTCTGATACTGATGTGAATAATACAGAGAATACTACCACTCCACAAGTGCAGAGGTTAAAAAATGCATCATTAAATGTAAGAATCAATGATAAGCTTGAAATTGATCAGAATATTGTAATAATTTTTTATCAAATAACAATGCCCATTTCAGGAGAGTCTTGGTAAATAAAGTAAAGCTTGTAATTGATTGGAACTCAAAATTAATTTTTTAATAATTAAAAAATCGATTTACAATGACGGATATTGATGATGGTTTTTCCGCCTCGACCTCGGTAGCCTCCTCGACCCCGGTAGCCTCCTCGACCCCGGTAGCCTCTTCGACCTCTGTAATCACCACGTACTTTAGGGTAATGGTGGCCGTGGTGTGTACCACCAGCTTTCCCTAAAATATCATGGAATTATGATTCACTTATATAACCTAATTATTATTAAATTAATACATAATATTATAATGATAAAATAAACTTACCTCTTTTCTTTTCTTTTTTCTTTTCCTCCGACTTTTCATTACTTGCTTCTTTTTCTTTTGTTACTGCAGATTCCTCTAAAAATATTAATAAAATTAGAAAAAATTTTTAGTTTTATTATTGCAATTTCACTTACGATTCTGCTCTGGCGGAGGATGCTCTAGAGAAATCTCCATGGTATCCTCTTGGAGGAGTTCTTGTATTTGTTTCAGTTTTTCCTCGGATATCTTTCCCTCTATCCCTTCCTTACATGTATCTAAAAATTCTAAAGAATTATTAAAATCTAGTAATTATTGAGTTTATATAAATTAAAAAAAACTTACCTTTTACGTCCATATCTTTTCCTTCAGAAATGACATTTTTAAAACACATGTACACTGACCAATCACTTTGTAACTTAATATTTCAGTTTATGCGCTTGCGTAGCTACGTGTGTGGAGATTCAAACTGATGTTATATTTTAAATTTTTTAGAAAATTCTACAATATTGTGGGCCCCCAAAACTCCCGTTCAATAGTATACATTCCTGAAAATTATCATTTTTCGTAGGATTTCGCCGTTACCTACTTAGCTCTAACTGACATCGAGCTTCTGCCTTCTACCGCAGAACGCGAGGGCGCAAAGTCAACTTCGGAACTTTTCTAAGGTATAGCCCAGCCTTAAGGAAAAAGATTATTTGTACTTAAAATGCGGTCCAAGGGGCGTGGCCAATTTTTATTTTTGCAAATGAATGATTTTCAGGACACAATAGCAATTGCAATTTATTGTCGTAGCTAATTAATAGGCTTTTAAAAGATTTTTTAATAAAGTTTATGTCATTATTGCAGAGAAATTAGAAATTTAAAGGAGCATAACCTCAAAAGTGCTAATCTGAGCGGAATAGAGACACGGTAGTACCTTCTTCACCGCTATTCATACTTGGCGCTCGAGACACTACTAAAATAAACGTGTCTCTTGATTGATGTAGAGTTGCCAACTCAAGAAATCTGAGAATCTTGACTTTTGTCAAATATTTTTCAGAAAAGTTCAGACTTTCAGAGTGAGTTTCACCACTTTAGCAGCTGCTAAGTAGAGCTGCCAACCATGAAAAAATTTATGCATTCAGCGTCACCATGTGAAAGAGTGTGCTACTACTTTACCAGACCAGGATTCAGCGCGAAAGAAATAACATCATTGTATTTGTGACAAGTTGCAGTGTCGATTTTCATTTATTTTATTTTAATATTTGCGTTTAATAAACGTTTTTTTAGTGTGGTGACCAGTGTAGGTAAGAAAATATTTCTATTGTTTTTGAAGTTATAATTACATATGTGTGTATACACACTATAGACGAGTAACCTAATGATTCATTAGAATGATTACGAATTATGTTGATTAATTTATAAATATAATTAATGTATTCTCAAATGTATCTAGTTTTCAGAAATGAATACAAATCCGACTCGACCCCGTTAACCTAACTTGACACTTGACGAAAAGTTAAAAATTGTTCAATTAATTTTTGAAGATAGAAACATGATCGAAAACAAAGCAACAGACCTTATTACAATAGCTCAAAAAAATGAATGTAGGGTGAAAATCACGAAATTATTCAATGAAAACTTATCTGTGTCATCACCAAATTATAGATCTACGGAGCAAATTAAAAACTTCTGGAATTAAATGAAGTCACACACCAAACAATTTCATGTTAATTTTTCAGTAAAAAAAAAAATATTTATAAACCTTTGCAATTTTAATGGACTTCAGATAATTTTCAGGAGGTGGACAAATGGAATTGGCCTTCAATTGTGTTAAAGAAATTACATACAGTATAATTAAACCCTCAATAGAAGGTTTAAATAACCCCTATGATAATGATTCAGAATATAATATGAATAATGAACAGAATGAAAATCAACCACCAGCTGATGATCCAGTTTTTGAAGTAAGTGATAAAGTATTCATTATAATGATGGATTATTATTTTTTCTTACAGTTTTTCTTGATTTTTTATGATTTCTATAATGAAATTTTATTTCAGCACCTCTTGGAATCCAACAGTATTACAAACTGGAACAAATGGGCTCCTGCCAAACTGAAAAACCCTTTAGCTGAACCTCTGAAGAACATTATATCAAGAAGGTCTCTTTCGAATGATTAATTCAAGCCAGTAGCGTCTACGTCAAATGGAATAACGTCTTCAACGAAGAGATCCTGTGCTTATTCTAAAACTGCAGAAATTTTACAATCAAAAAAATTAAAATTGATAACAGTTATGGAGGAACGTATGAAAAAGCGTGAAAGCTTAGATGATTTAAAAAAAAAGGTATTACAAACTAAATTAAAAGCGGAATCATTGAAATTGCAACTCCTTGAAAAAACAGTACGGAAAACGACCGATGAAATAATACAAAATGCACATGATTATGAAGACATTTTCAATATATCAGACTCTGATGAATAATAATAGTAAAGATATACCTTCATTAAGTTAAAAATTTTTCATTATAATGAAACATCGTGCAATTAAAAATTTTTAACTTAAGTTCAACAATTTTTTACTGTGTTGCGTTAATATTAATATAATTGTTTTTCATCTGTTTTATATTTATTAAAAAAAAAAAAAAGTTTTATAAGTAATCATATAAGTTATATATTCACGTTGCATTGAAAGTTATATGAATAAAAAGTTACAAAATACTTTTTGATATTTCAGTCATTTTTTTTATTATTATTAACTCATTGCCTGACCAATATTCACTTGTTAATGTATTTTGTTGACTTTCCATAAAAAAAAAAACCGAATACGTCGATGAAAAACTTCTCAGTATGCGACTGTATCATGCCTAAAAAACGTAATGTTATCTCTTCGAATATAATATATTCAATTTCTAATTGTCTACAATCTTTTACTACACCAGTAGATCATCAACTTTAAATGTAGCACTAGCAAAATCTCAACATATATCTTCAGAGTTTAATGGATCTATCAAATAATTATATGGACAACAAACAATTTTAATCTTAAAGAAAATTTATTGACAATTACTTCCGCAATTTTTCAATTAATTCAGATGCCCAAAACTCCGTACATACTTTTGAAATATTGATTGAAAATTTTTGAAATCGATCTCGGTATTGCAGTGAGTGTTTTGATTTATAAACAAAGCCATAAAAACACAAGACAATACAAGATTATTTTGACCTTTTCTTGACCAAGTTTCAGGCTTCCCTTCTAAACGTGTTGCAAAAAGACTATTTTTCAAGGTTCTGTAATCATACATAGCATGTATATAAACATTGTCTTCTTCAATACAAACTTTTTTCTTATGTGTTCAAGTTACGTGCTTCTGGAAGGCAATTTTAGTACTGAAATTCTTTGAATAAACTCTACATTTAAGTACTGTAGTTGTTTTCGAAATAATACTTCGATATTTAGTTGATCTTTGGGTTTTTGGTGGAGTATTAGATGTAACATCAAGTACTATTTCTTCTACTATTCCAACGTCATCAACATCTTCATTTTCACTGACGTACTCTATTGCTTGTAAATCCATACTATTTGCTTTAATAAATGGTGACACTTCTTAAGCTTGTTCATTTTTTTTAACAGGATTATTATCTAAAAATTCTTATTAGAAAATTGTATTACCGTTGTCAACGGCAATACATCGACAAGCTTGCAAATCTTAAACAGTCTTTGCAAGATTATTCTCTTCATTTTTAATAGCTAGAAGTTCCCTCAGCATGCACTCTAGTTCTAATCCAACTTCTGTTGCACTTTTTAAGTCCTTTTCAAGCATAGAGACTTGATTTTCGAGGTCTACTCTAGCTTTCTAAATACATCAAGATACATTTTCACCATACACCAAATTTCTGCTGTTGAACTCCTAAAGGACTTGTTTTATCACAATCTAATTGTGCGCTTACATAAGATGTTTTTAGTGATCTGCTGTCATTTACGAAGCTATTATTCTCATTTTTTACATACAATCCATCATCAGTATCACACTCGTCTTCAGTATTTTCTTCCTCTTCATGAGCACCATTTTTTTGTACCAACTGAGAGTGGGTTTGAGTAGTTGAACCAATTGAACATTTTGAATATTTGGACTCAACGTAATGGGATCTCATGAAATTTGTTCATTTGTAAACATCATGATTGATCTTCATCATATTTATTTCCATGTTATTGTCAAGTCGGAGTTATAATAATTTTGTTGTTACGGACAAATATGTAGCATATTACTTTAAATTCTGAATGTATATTATGACCCACTTGTTTTCATAAAAAATTAGAAAGATCAGTCTATTTATATAATAATAAATATTTATAGTCTGAAACAAAAATTATTATAAACACAAATGATTCCATGATAAAACCGATTTAATTATAATTACATACCGATCAAAGTAATTATCAATTATCCACTGACGTTCATTGATGTTGTTTATTGGGTTGTATGTTTGTGGAATATCATCATATCTGCTATGCCTTACGCAAGGAGAAGGATTCACTGACATACGGAGATTATATAAAATTGCTGTTGCAACTATAACTGGTAATGTTGATTCAACATTGAAAAAACGTGAGCCAATAGTCAACACAGCAAAAATTTTTCCCCAAATGCCGAAGCATCGTTCAACCATATTTCGTGTTCTTATTTGGGATTCGTTGTATAATTGTTCTGCAGCAGTTCTTGGATTTATTAATGGAGTCATCAAATATGGCAAAGCAGGGTATCCACAGTCTCCTACCAAGCATGAGTTTCCGAATTCTCCAGTTTCAGAGCGATATTTTATTAATGAATGATCAAAAATTGTAGAATCATGAGTAGATCCCGGCCATCGCGCAACTAGATCCATAATTTGAAGACGTGAATTGACTATCGCTTGAACATTGATTGAAAAAAAGGATTTACGATTCCTATATAACTCTGTATCGTCTCCTCCTGCACTTAAAAAATGGCATGTGGAGACATACATCTCATTCGTTTAACGTAGAAAAAACATAAAAAAAAATATCTTACCGTATGATCTAACTCTAACATGCATACAATCGATAGCTCCAATAACACGTATAAATCCAGCTCGATGAAAATCTTCTTTTTGAATCTGCCTTATGGCTGCAGGAGTTGTTGGAAATCTGATGTAATACCTACGTAAACTCGCAATAGCCCTGGAAGTCCGATGAATAATATGGCAAACACTCGATTTGCTGATTCCAGTAAAGTCACCCATAGTTATATAAAAAGAGCCGGTTGCAAAAAACCGAATTGCAACTAATAATTGTATTATAGGCGGAATAGCAGCATTACTGCGAAATGAAAAAATTGAATGAATTTTTTCTTTAATTTATAAGCATTACTGTTAAACAATAATGAAAATATTAGTTTGAAATACTTAGGAGTGTTATGCCCTATCATCCCCTCAATTTGAAGAAGGATTTCTAGAAACATATTTTTATTTAATCTAAATCTGGCAATAAAATCGTTTTCGTCTAATATGTGGAACCAATTTATTCTTAAACGGAATATTTTGGGCCTACGAACAGGAAAATGATGATGGTCAATTTCACCATCATCATCATCATCTAGCATCAAAAAATCAATAATTAACCTATCCATGCTGCAAAAATGAAAATAAAGAATTAATTCGATGATATTACTTCTTACAAAAAACTTCTTTCAATTGATATTTTATTGATATATACTTTAATATATTTAACACGATAAAACTAAAAAATAATCTTAAACCTTTCCAAAGTATTTTCATAGATACTAGCGCGTTTTTGTGGTAATAATAATGACTTTATATTTTTACCATCAGAGTGCACTGTACACGCTGAAATGTGGATATTTTTAATAGTTGGCAGCCCTACTTAGCAACTGCTAAAGTGGTAAAACTCACCCTCAATCTTTACGGATGAATATCTTTTCAATAAATAGATTAAAAATTATGATTAATGCTGCAAATAAAAGCTCACAGATGATTTGTATGGCAAATCTATTGATAAATTATGTGTACGTGCTGTACTTTAAAAGTTAATAGAAAAAATAGAATTGAAAGGAAAGGGGGAGGGTAAAATTTCTTGTGTAGAGTGCTGTTGCGTGCTGTCATGAGAGAGAAATAAATGAAACATCTCATTTAGTCATGTTACCTGATTTACAGTAAATCAATTAATATCAGTTTATGTCTTTTTAAGTACATAAAAATCATGTTTACACATGCAAAATTCGTTCAAACGGTCATCGTCGAGCTCACGCAACAATGTTTACGTTTAATTCTAAGGATGAGAGCTCGAATGTCTTTCTTAACGATGTTTTCATTCATATCTAAAAACCTAACGTATCAAATAAATCAGTTGATTTTTGACTACGGTTGATCATGCAGCGATTGTCACGATTTAACTCTTAATATCTGCTTTATTTTTTTTTGCTAATTAACATCAGTTGTAAAAAAATTGTTTCTTGATTACTTCTGCAAAATATTTTAAATATTTTTGTGAATATTAAAAATGGTGCAAAGTAAATCTCAATGTATCTACAAAAGATGTCAAAATTCGAAGGCAAAAAATCCTGATCTGAGCTTTCATTGTATTCCAGTTAAAAATCCAGAAATGTAAGTAAAATTAAGATTATTTATTAAGTTTTCTATATAATTCATTTTTCTCAATCGGTTATTCAGTAAAAGTTGTCACTCAATAAATGACAGTTTGAGTAATTACGTTAAACTTTATATTAGTTTTTTAATTAAGGATGTACGAGGATAAAAGAGAGGGAAATCGAAATTATTGGGAGAAGGGGTAAACATGTTTATGTGTGTAGGTTAAGTTAGAATGTAGTCACGTGATTTCTACTTTATATTTGGCAACGTTGTAATCAGTTTGTAAGGGAATAGTTCGAATTTAACATATAAAATCATGTTTACACGTGATAAAAAAGGAAAATTCTGTAAAAAAAGAAAATTGGCAAATGCTGAAAGCATGGAAAAGCGAAGCAAAAAAGAAGATATTCTAGAAGATCCTAACCTAGGTTTGTTACATATTAATGTTCAATATAAATTTTGCAGATTAAATGATTAGTTATTTACTTTTATTATATTATATTTTTATTATATGAATGTTTCAAGTGATATATGATGTTACTCATTCATCAATAATTTATTATTCTTATTCCATTATTTTTACTTTTTTTAAAAAAGTATCTAAAACTTATGAAGTTTATTTATATTTTTAAATAAATTATTATAACATAATTATAATATTTATGTGATAATAAATTTAAAAAAACAAATTAGAAAAGAAATGAACTATTTACGGTTTTAAGTTTTTGAGTTTTCCGCTCTCTGCTTACAACCAATAGAAAGCGTTTTTATTTGTTGTATTCATTCACGACAATTACAACGTTGCCAAGCGTAAAGTTATCAAGGAACTCATGGTGGTTTCTGATAAAAAAAAAAGTTTAGAATCATTTTTCTTTAAATATAGTCGGGCAAACAATTTTTCCATAGTACCAATATTTTTTTCCATTATCGATTTATATTGTTTATAGTTTTTTTTTATGCTAGCCAACTGATTTATTAATATAAATATCAATATAGTGGAAGTAGTGCCTATTCTTCCATAATCCTAATGCATTTTTAGTCGATTTTCAAAATCAATTATTTTTAAAAAACAGTCGGTTAGCTACCCTAAAAATTACATAGTGGATGTAAGTCATATTGTCCTAGTTATATGCAAATTTTCAGGGTAAAACTCGATCATAAGTTTCATCCTTATACATCCTTAAAGGTTACGAATATTCCAATTATCACTCAATACTCGTCATGTATGATTATAATTAATTGAAAAGCTTTTTTTTCGTGTCTAATTTTATTTTGAGGCAGTATAAAAAAATAGTTTCATATATTGTTATTCCCATTTACTAGCAATTTGATTGCCATTTGTTTTTTCTCTTTCAGAAATATTGTTGTATAGCCAATGAAACACGAATTTAAGTTCTACTTCGAGTTTATTAAAACTTAATAGTTTGTACAGGTTACAGCTGTTCTGATATAAAATTGTATAATTTAGAAAATAGAAGACAAGTAGACAGGTTGGTGTCTTAGAAAAGAGTGAGTATGTTCCTTAAAATGGGATGTATTTATGGGATGAAATTCAGGATAGAAGGGGTTGTTTTTTGGTGACGTAAGGCTGTTTTTTTTTGGTTAGTGAAACTGTGTCGAATCAGGTAGTTGAGGATTTTGGGAATTTTGGAAAGTGTAGTTTTCTGGGGAAATATTAAAGTGCAGTTTTATGACAGGATATAGAAAAAAGGGATTTGAAGAATTTAGAAAGCTAGATAAGATATACATAGATAAACTAAGTTATAATATAAGGGCAGGATATATAACAATATTTACGTAATTTTCGTTACATTCTTTCATTAATGTATGCAATTTATATAAATTCGTTGTTTTTATAAAATTATAAAAAATTGTTTAAAGTAGTTCTACGTTTCCTTGTTTTGAGAAGACCCTTTAAAATGAGTAAAGTTAAGAAGAATTAGAATTTTGGATTAAATAACTAGTGTATATCGAAAAATTTTTAATTGCGACAAAACTTTGCCGACATGTAGAGGACGTTATTAGAAAGGTTATGGGCTACTTTTTGTTTTTATAAATTGTTTAGAGCAATTAAAATTGTTCTAAACAATTAGAAACCGAATCTATGCAAGATATTTGAGTTCTTCCAACGGGAAATTTTCTCTTTTGTTGAAAAAAACTTACTAATAACGTAGCATAAATGAAAACGCACTCTTATTCTTTGTAACAATCAAATTTGTTATAAACAATGATAAAGCATTTCTATGCAATATTCTTGAGGTCTTCCAACGGAAAATTCTTTCTCTTGTTAAAAACGAGTTACTACCGACGTAACATAAATAGATAAGACTTTTACTGTTTATAATAATTAAATTTGTTACAAACAATTGAAAACGGGTTCTAATATAAACGAACTCTTATTGTTTACGGCAATTAAACTTATTATAAACCAGTGAAAACCGAATCTATGCTATTTATTCGAGTTTTTTCAAAGGGAATATTTCTTTTCAATGAAAACGAATCACAAACCGGGCAACATAAGAGTGATCGAACTCTTTCTATTTATAATATTTGAATCGTTGTAAAGGAGCGTAAAATTTGAATTCTTTTTGTTTGTCATTGGTATCTTTGAATTCATTACTTTTTTTACCATAACAAAGTAAAACGTATTCGAAATTGGCGCATTCAAATTATGATATCACTATTCAAATTTTTTTCGAACAATCTGTCAATATATGACGTCATTATGCACATTACGCAGACAAATCGCGGGAATCAGCTAGTTCTTAAAAATATATCGTAATTTGAATGATTATTTGCATATAAAATGTGTTATTCTTCAGTTTTTCTTCATAACGCTATCGATAACTACTGGTTATAGAGTAGAATTTTTATTCGAGATTGCTCAAAAAATAATTATTTAGTTTTTTAAAATTGTCTGTAGTATAAGACAGAATTTTTAGATTTGATTATGTCACTGAAATGATCGATAACTTAATGTTTTTCCATTGTAAATTATTTACACTAATCTTAATATCTTGTTCTTTTGCAGACATTCGTTAAGTTTAAAAACTACCTTAGATAAAATAATAGATGGTTTCATTCAAGCAATAAATAGTACTTTCATGCGTAGTTATATTTTATAATACTACATTTCTTGTTTAAAACTGATTTCTATTTGTTCAGAACATTTAAAAAATTAGCTCTTAAAAAAACAATAAAAGGAAATATCGCCCTGCATATAAATAGCGAATATATATCATTTTACGTATAAATGTATATTTATATATTTATTTCTTTTATAACAGCAAAGATCTGTAGCTTCAGCGATGCGGAAATGAAAATTTAAGAGGATTAAGCGACCACCAACTGCAAACTCGACGAATTTGTTCTGCTTATTTTGATAAAAATGAGTTCAAGGAAGGTGCACGAAAACTATTGAAGGATTTAGCGTAACCCGAAGATTATCATCAAGTAATGGATGTACTTAGTAATATTCCAAATCAAGAGAATAATTGTAATGATACAATAAACCGTCATCATTCCAATAATTCTGGACTTCATATTAGAGAAGATAAAACAAATGCAGGTGAAACCATTACTTCTTTACGAAATTCTTTATTTAAATCACAAGTAGTTATAAATGAACAAAGAAA